TGCTCACCTTCCCCCCCCCCCTCTGTGTGTGTGTCTCTTTCTGGTGAGCTCACATGCCCTACAGCAAATAAAAAAAATACTAAATAAAATTTAAAAATATATTTAATGGCAATTAAAATGGAACATGTAATTGAAAAATGCCTTCTGAATTATTGTAAGCTATTCCAGGTATAATTTATTGAATTATATCCAATTAATCCAGCAATATATCCAATATGATATATATCCAATTTAGAAAAAGTTGACAGGATAAATCATGATTCAATATATAAAAAAGCTAATAGTATACCACATGAATATTGACAGGAATGAAGACTCCATGGATGATCTAAGAACCTTTTTTTTTTTAATGTGGAAGAATTGCAAGGGAGATTTTTTTTTAAATTTGGTTACTTTATTGTCATTTGTGAGAAAGACTATGTTAGATTTGTATGATAATCTCCACACCAAACTTTCCATTGAATTAAAACTTTAATATGAATTAAAAGCTCTAAGTTTTCATGAGCCATTTTGTATCAGCTCAGTCTAAAACTTCATAAGCATAACATCAGGTGTGCTATTAGTAGTTTTATTTTGTATATTAATATACGTGTGTTGTAAATGTTAGAACATGAGATAAATAGGTCATTTTGCCTAGATGAATTGAATAGTTCATTAATCAGAAACAATTTTTGTTTGTTCATAATCTGTAAATTAGTATCGATGAAAGAAATTTCATATTTTGAGTCTATGAAATAGGAATCAAGTGTTTTTTAGGACTTCCAGATTTTAATGCTATTTTAATAAAATGAAATTTTATTTTAGCTATCTTCCTGGGATCATATCGCATGCCATATGAAGAAATAAAAAACATTATTCTGGAGGTTAATGAAGATATGCTGAGTGAAGCCTTAATTCAGGTAACTTGGATATTTTCTTTTTTAAATTCATTTTTCAATTTTTTTAGATTGATATCTTTTTAATAGAATTGTGATAAAATATTATATATGTAGACAATAAAAGTAAATATGCCAGATGGTATTGTGGTATTTTTTTGCCAATAATATTAAAAATCTTTATTGTTTAAAATGAAATTATATTGTCAGCTCTTTAGGGAATGTAAGACAGACACACAGAGATATTCTTGCATATAAATGTCCCTTATACAGCAAGCTTTTAAAATATGTATATAGACATTTATTATCTGGATTTTTTTCTATTTCATTTTATTTGTAAAATAAACAATATACATATATTTTGTTTCTCTCCTGAAATTGAAAAAGACTGATCCAGTTGGGAGGAATGAATTGCTTACAATTTGGAGATGGCAGTAAATTATGTCTCAATTCTTGAATTTGCTGATTTAATTTTAGCCACTATGCAGTCCACCCAGCTGCTTGTAAAATTACATTATTATGCTAGATCTTGGATTGTACTCTGGGAAGGTACATGAAAGAGAATCGTAAAGCATAGATACTGCAGAGAGCTACTTTGTGCTTCCATGTTCCTGTTTCTGTGTGTGAGGGTTGACCTGCACCTGTCTCATCTCTTCCTGTTTTCTAGGCCTCCATTCCTTTTTCTAAGTCTTTATCTCTTCCTCCTTTTCATGTGTCCGTACGTTTTACCCCTTCTTTCTTTACCCCACCAATTTGATGCCTTCTTTTCGTTTTGTACCTTTTATTGGCCGAGGACCTTCCTTTTTTAAAGACAAGCTTCCTTTCCTTCTCGGTATGAAATACTCTAAAATTTCTTCTTGTTCCTTACCATACTCAATTAAAACTCATTCTCTTAGTTCTGTTTATAAGAGGAAACAGTCTAATGTTAAATATAATATGCATAATTGGAATCGTGCTACTTGAGTACAAGGCACAAATGGTAACTCACCTGAGTTACCACGGTTACTATTGCTTTTACTTACAAAGAGCAGACTTCTGAGTATCTTCTAGTAAGGAGAATGCCCCTGTGTTGAAACTTTATATGATTTTCCAGGCCCCAGCAGACCCTACTTTCACTCAGGCAGGAGAAAAGAACAGAGTCAATGGCATCTCTTTCCCACTCCCATCCCAGAAATTTTGCTTCAGTGATGCAAAAGTAACATCAAATTGCCATTCCTAAGAGCTGTTTACCATTTATGTCTAATTACCATGTAGCACATCGATAATGCATAGCATTAAATATGTACCATCAGATTAACTGTGTTGTAAGTTCTATTTGATTACAGTGCTAAACTCCATCCATGCATAATCATAGTTTGTTGCTCATGTAGCATGCTTGGCTCCTTTTAACAACAAAAACAACAAAAAACAATCAAAGATATATCACTTCTCAGACACTTGAATTAACGCCAGTACTATCTCTTCTAGTACTGGTTGAGGTGCTTCCTTGCCTATTGTAGATTTTAGTTATTTGGCAAAATAAATGCCTACTGGAAAGCAAGAAAAATAATTTCATTTAATCAGGAAGCTCATGCTCAAATTTTAAGATAATTTATGAAAAATACTAATGTCTCTGTTATTTCAAACTATCTAAATTTAAGCTAAAGTCTGAGTTATCCATGGGGCAGAAATCAAAATGTCCTAAAGTACATACAGTAAATTATAGAAACATTTAAATGTACATCATGGGACCAGCAGATGGTGTAAGGTTACATTGCTGGACTCCCTCATGGCTGACTGTGGTTCAAGTCCCAGACCCAGAGACTTGAAACTCATACTGGGTGTATGTGCTTACAGTCCCAAGATACCAGGAGGAGAGTGGAGGAGAAAGAATGGCAGTGTGTCCATCCCTCCTGAGGGGTTATTTCTTGCTTTCTGTCTCTCTGTCTCTCTGGCAAGCATATGTATGCTATAGAAAAAATCTCTCTCTAAAAGGGAAACAAAACAAAAACAGTATATCTTGTGGTCGTTTGAGGATCTTTTAATATATGCAATTATATGTTACTTCCAAATACAGGTTGTGCATCCCTTATCCAAAGTGCTTGAGGGATCAGCAGTTAGCATTATGGCTGTGTCGCTGGACTCCCATGTAGTTGACCATGGTTCGAGTCCCAGACCTGGTGGCTTAAACTCATACCAGGTGCATGTGCATGCGTGCCCGAGATCCCAAGAGGAGAATGGAGAAGGGATTGCAGTGTGGCCATCCCCCCACAGGGGATGATTTCTCTCTTTCTGTCTCTCTGCCTTTTTCTGTCTTTCTGGCATGCACATATGCCCTATAGCAAAACCCTCTCCAAAAAAAGAAAAAGAAAAACAAAAACACAAAGTGCTTGAAACAAAAGTGTTTTAGATTTCAGCTATTTTTTCCCCAGATTTTGGAATATTGGTATATACATAATGATATATATTGGGGAATGAAACTCAAGTCTAAATACAAAATGCATTTATGTTTTATATACACCTCATATGCATAGCCTAAAGGTAATTTTATAGAATATTCTTGTACTGTGGTGTTTTGACTGCAACCTGCACATGAGGTCATTACTTCAGAAACTATAGTTTTTATTAGAGTTGCCACTTGGTCTTAGTTTTAATGCTTTAATCAAGAAGCACATTTATTACTATAACACAATTTATGTTTGTAAATATGTTGATAGCTATTGTAATGTAATTGGTTTCTTTTATCACACTCTACATTTTATTTTATTCTGAGAAGGAATCCAAAAGCTGGTGTAAAGGGGTCCATGATTAGAGAGAAGAAAGCTAGAAACTGCTACAAAGGTTCAAAGTAGAGGAGCTGTAAATTTTAGTGGTCTGTGGTTAAAGTGATCTTTCTGGAAGAAGTACAACTTGACTTGGACTGTGAAACAGTAGCAGGATTCATGTAGTGAGGACTCAGAAAAGGGAATGGTGTGCAAAAGTGTGTCTTTATTATTCTGCTATAGCTCAGAAGTCATAGAGAATGGCAATGATGAAAGAGCATTTAAAAGATGAGTTGATTTTCCCCAAAACATATAGCCATCTGATTTTCAACAAAGGGCACGATACAACCCAGTAGAGAAAAGAAAACTTCTTCAGCAAATGGTGCTAGGAAAACTGGATCTTCGCCTCCAGAAAAATGAAACTAGACCCCTATCTCTTATCCTTAACAAAAATCAACTCAAAATGAATCAAGGATCTAAACGTAAAACCTGAAACTATAAAACTACTGGTAGAAAACACAGGGAAAACTCTTGGGAATAGCAGAGTAGGCAACGACTTCTTAAATAAGAACTCCAAAACACAAGCAATAATCCTGAAAATAGACAAGTGGGACTACATCATCTAAAAAGCTTCTACACAGCAAAAGAAACAATAATTAGAGTGAGGAGACAACCTTCAGAGTGTGAGAATGTGTTTCCAAACTATGCCTCAGATAAGAGACTGATAACCAGAATATATAGGGATCTCTGGCAACTTAGCTGCAAAAATAAGTAAGTAAGTAAGTAAATAAATAAATCCAATCAAAAGAAGGACTAATGAGCTGACTAGTCAGTTGTCTAAGAAAGACATATGAGTGACCAAAATGCATATGGAAAAGTGTTCAAAATCTCTTATCATAAGGGAAAACCACAATGAAATACCATTTAACCCAAGTCACAATGTCTAAGATTTAAAAAGTGAAGAATGATTGATAAGTGATGGCAGGGCTACAGTGAAAAGGGAACCATCCTATACTGTTGGCGGGAATGTAAATTAGTACAGCCACTGTGGAGAATAGTATGGAGGTTCCTCAGAAACCTACAAATAGAACTACTATACAACCCAGTAATTCCACTCTTAGGTACATACCCAAAGGTGGGAAAACCCTCAGTATTAAAAACAGTTGCACACCCATTTTTATTGCATCATTAATCACAATCGGTAGGACACGATATCAGCCCCGATGTCCAAGAACAGACAAGTGGATTGAAAAAATGTGGCGTATGTACTCTGTGGAATATTACTGAGCCATTAAAAAAAACAGTGAAACTGTGACATTTGATACAAAGTGGATGAATATGGAAAATTTAATGCTTAGCAAAGCAAGCCAGACTATGAAAGATAGGCATTGTTTGTCCCCACTTAATCTATATTAAATATCTGCACTCTACTGTAGAAACTCAAAGATTGGAAGGTGTAATAGCAGGGAGTGCAACTGTAAATGCTTGAGACAATATAGAAGAGGATTGATAATAGGGATGGGAGGAAGGGGGTCAGGGGAAAGAATACCAAACATTTAACAGACAAAAATGAAAAGTTATCTGTTGAAGATAATGCATGACTTGACTAATACACATTTGTATTCATGCTGGGAAAACCATGTTGTATACTGTAAAGATGTACAGTAATTAAACGTAAACTTAAAAAAATAATTGGGAAACTAGACATGCAAATGAAAGAATTTTTTTTTTTTTGAAGATGAGTTGTGGGGTCAGCAGGTGGCATGGTGATTACCGTGGTTTGAGTCCCAGACCTGGCAGCTTTCTTTTTCACTTTTCCTCTCTCTCTCTCTCTCACTCTCTCATTCTCTTACTCTGTACTTTCTGTCCAAATTAAATTAATCAAATAATTAATGTTAAAATAATTCTTTTTAAAAAAGAGATGATTGGTTGGGGTCACATTGTAGAGGCACTGACATCAAAAACTAGTGACTTGGGTGCACACATTTTTTTTTTTTGTCTATCTGTATAAAATTTGTCTTATTTGCCCTTATAGTGATTAAACAGTAGAATTTTTTTTTTTGGATAGGTTTTTGCTATAGGGTGCATGCACTCATCAGACAGACAGAGAAAGACAGACAGAAAGTGAGAAATCACCCCCCAGGTGGGATAGCCACGCCACAATCCCTTCTCCATTCTCCTCTCAGGATCTTGGGCACGCATGCACATGCGCCCGGCGTGAGTTTAAGGCACCGGGTCCGGGACGCGGACCGCGGTCGACCACGTGGGAGTCCAGCAACATAG